ACAAAAAATGTAAAAAATTAAAAATACGAAAAAATTAAAATAAAATAAGTAAAAAAATATGAAAAAAAAAAACCAAAAAAAAAAAAATTTAAAACGTATGAATATATTAGAGTAAATAAAAAACTAAATTAAATAAAGTATATATAAAACGAAAATAAATTTAAAAAACAAAAATAAATTTAGAATATATATAAAAAACGAAAATAAATAAAATGTGTGGTGTAATATATATATATATATATATATATATATATATATATATATATATATATATATATATATATATATATATATATATATCTATATATATAACGAAAATAAATAAAGTAAATAAAAACCAAAAAATAAAGTTAAAAAACCATGTGGTGTAATTTTTTGCAAATTACAGGGACAAAATTTAAACTTTAAACCCAAGTTTATGACTGATTTTGCAAAAAAGATAACATGGTTAACCATGAAACTCGTTAAATGGGCTAGAGTGATAATTCTACGAGAAAGTTGTGGCCATAGTAGTAATAAAAAAATGTTAAAGCTTTTTCCAATTACACGTTAAAAACTTTGGACTTTTATGATATTAGTCCATGAAAATAAATGATAGTAGGGTTCTATAAAACGTAAAGAAATGGAGGTGAAATGCATTCAGCTTAATCACTTCGGCGGGAGTTGTAAAAACAAGTTAAGTCATAAGGCTAATGGAACAATAAAATCAAGAGGTGATATATTATTTGATTTATGCCATTTTATTAAAAAAAAATGAACTTTGTGAATGATCATGTATCTTACAATTCCAATAAAGTTACAAAAATATTTATTAAAGCGGCCTCCAACAATATTTTAGTAACAAGCCTCACCAATTGACCTATTGCTTTAACATCAGATGTCTGAACCTGATGTAAGATATTTATAAATAACAAGATTGGAATTGTAAGATGGTTGTAGTAGCTTCTCGACAATCTTGAAACACCTGCCGTTGACCCGTTGGTTGTAATAGCTCTCTATCTGTTTCTTATAATGCTCTTGTCGTATAGCCGCTACTTCTCTCCGTTCCATGGAGACATCTAAGTTTGCTCTCAAATCTTCATCATTGGTCTCCGTGTCCGTGTTTGTTGTTTGGTTCGTGAGGACAATTAACTCTAATGGTAGTACCGCTTCTGACCCATAGACTAGGCTATAAGGCGTTTCCTTTGTCGTCGTACATGTTGTCGTCCGGTATGCCCATAACACGCTTTGTAACTCGTCGATTCATCACCCCTTAACTTCATCTAGTCTTGTTGCTAACCCATGCACGATTGTTCTGTTGGTGACCTTGGTATGTCCATTTGTCTCTAGGTGTGCTATGGAAGTGAATATTTGGTTGATTCTGAGTCCTTCGCACCATTCTCAGAAGATATTATTGGCGAATTGTGTGTGGTTATCCTAAATTAGTGTATGTGGTATCCCGAAGCAGCAAATTATTTGTTTCGAAAAGAATTTGACGATGTTCTGACTTGTTATTGTCGCTAACGATTCTGCCTCTACCCATTTGGTGAAGTAGTCTATTGCGACCACCAATAATGTTACTTTCCCGGGTGCTTCCGGGAAAGGCCCTACTGTATACCCCATTGGATGAATGGCCATGGGCTACTTATGCTAATCATCGGTGTTGCTGATTTTCTTGGGATTGGTGCGTGTTTCTGACATTTCTCGCATTTGTAGATTATACTTTCCGTGTCTTTATACATATTTGGACAATAGTACCTGATCCTTGCTATTTTTCGTACTATAGTTCGCACACCTTTATGTGCTCCAGCGACTCCTTCATGCATTTCCCTTATGAGGTATTCCACTTCCTTCCCATCCACGCAACGTAAATGAGTTTTTAAGTACCCTTTTTTATATATCACTCATTTTTCTACTACAAAGGATGGGGCTTTACTCCGTAACTTCCTGGACAACTTTTCATCCTGGGGTAATTTTCCTTCTGTTAGGTATTTAATTATTGGTTTTCTCCAATTGTTCATGTCTCCTACCACTATCATTACTAACGTTTCATTTATTGCTTTTGTTTGCACGATTTCTCTTGGCTATGTGGGGGAAAGTTGAAGATGTTAGTTTGATCAATGCATCCACACATTTGTTTTTTGATCTTGGTATATGTTCCAACTTGAATCTTGCGAATTGCTTTGTTAGTGTCTTTACTTTCTCAGCATATTGTAGTATATTTTTACCTCAAATCTCATATAACCCATTTGTTTGATTGGCCACTACCATTGATTCTATAAAAGCATGTATGTGTTTGCACCCCATCTTGATTGCTAGTAGTAATCCTGCAATCAGCGCCTCGTACTTTGACTCTTTATTCGACGCTGAAAAATTGAATATTAATGCGTAAATTACTTCTTCTCCTCTTGGGATTGTTAATATTAACCCGAATACTGCTCATTCCGTGCAGGAAGATCCATCTGAGAACAAACTCCATTGGTTTTCTTGCGTAACTTTGGTACTTGTTTGGTTATCATTTGATTCGTCTACTGGCGATACCTCTCTATGACATGTTATATCAGTAATGAAATTTGCTAATGCTTGTGCTTTTATGCTAGTTCGTGGCTTGAAGACAATTTCATGTTCTCCTAATTCCATAGCCTATTTGGCTAACCTTCCTGACTTCTCTAGTTTTAATATGACTTGTCGTAGTAGTACATTTGTGAGAACTAACGTCTTGCTGCATTAACTAGGCTTAATGCTAATTTCTCGATGTCTGAATATCCTATCTCTGCTCATTGTAGTATTCGACTTACAAAGTATATAGGTACTTGCCTTTTTTCCCTGTTTGCTACTAGTACCGTGCTAACCGGTGTTTTTGACGTTTCCAGGTGTATTGTCAATACCTTACCTAGAATTGGCGGTGTCAAGGTGGGTAGTTTGGCTAATGCTATTTTTAGCTTTCTCAATGCGTTTTTAGCTTCTTCAGTCCATCAGAAGGTCTTTTTGTCCAATACCATTCTTAGTGTTTTGTAGAAGGGGAATGTTTTTTCTGCTGATTTAGCCAAGAACCGTCCTAGTTTTGCTCATTTTCCGTTTAATTCTTGCACCTCTTTCATTGTCTTTGGCGAGCACATTTCTATTAATGAATCTACCTTCTTAGATTTGATTTTATTTCGTCCTTTGTGATTACATGTCCCCAAAACCTACCTTCTTCCGTCCCAAAGATGTACTTTTTTGGGTTTAACTTACTATTTACCGCTCTTAAGTTAGTGATGGTTTCTGTTATATCATATAGGAAATGGTTATCATCTTTGCTTTTGATGACCATGTCGTCCACGTAAACTTCGATATTCCTGCCGATTTGTGGTTTGAAAACTTTGTCTGCTAACCTTTGGTACGTTGCCCCTGCATTTCTTAGTCCAAATGGTATTTTTACGTAATAGAATGTGTCCCTGTCTATGTGGAAAGAAAATTTTTCTTCATCCTCTTTGTGCATATGTATCTGGTGGTATCCCTTGTAAGCGTCTAAGAAACTCTTCCACTTATGCCCATGTAGCGATTCTATCTTTTCATCGATCGATGATAGTGGGTAACAATCCTTTGGGTTCACTTTGTTTAAGTCTGTAAAGTCTATACACATTATCCATTTCCCGTCTCCTTTTTCATGAATATTGGGTTTGACACCCAAGATGGGAAGAGTGATTCTCGTACTATGCTTTCCTTGACTAATTTGTCTACTTCGTCATTTATTTATTTGTTTTTGTCTTTGGATTGTCCCTGCTTTTTCTACCCGATTGGTTTGGTTCCCGACTTTTCATTTAATTTGTGCTCAAATAAGTGTCTGGGTAACACTAGTCATGTCTGCTGCTTCCCAGGCGAATACATCAACACTTTCTTTCAAAAATTTTGTTATTTCCTCTTTCAACACTACTAGAAAAACAGCCTTTTACGACGCACAAATGCGCATCAAGAAAGGCCCTGTCATAACGGAAGACGACACGCATTTGCGCGTCGTCTGTTTACGACGCGCAGTTATAACGCGCAATGCGTATCAAGAAAGGCCCTGTCATAAAGGAAGACGACACGCATTTGCGTGTCGTAACCTTACGACGCGCGTGTTTATGAAACGCAAAGCGTATCAAGGAAGCTTGTGTCATAAAGGAAGACGACACGCATTTTTGCGTGTCATAATTTTAATTTTTTTTAAAATTATATATTTTTGATAGATTTACTAATTTTCAAATTAAATAACACATTAAAAGTCTCATAATACAAAACAAAATACCATAAACAATAAAGATAATTTATTGCACTAAGGACCATGTTAACAAAAGAATATAACATTATATACCATAAGTACCCTCAAGTAATCAATCTCTTACAATGTTACTAAAAATACCCTCAAGTAATCAATGTCTTACAAAGTTACTAAGAGACTTAGATACTCAGTTGGTATGTAATATGGCACTAAGAAGCCCAAGAATTGTTTGTGTTTTTCCTGTTCCTGGTGGATCCTACATGGACAAAAGGTAAGAATTAACATTTTCAAAGTACAATGCCTCAATAAGGAAATCAATGGTAAAAGGCAAATCTGAATAAGAACAAACTTTATACATATATACAAGTAAGTATTGTAATACACAATAACATCAACAAATACCAAATTACCCTTTGCTTACCTTTTCTTATGGCCACCTCCAAAAGTTAGAATTTGATAAAAGATTTAGGTCACGCATTCTCTCATCAAGCTCTGTATCCAAAAGTGAGAATTTGATAAAAGATTTAAAAAGTGGGAAAATATCAAGAATATAGAGGATAATACATTAAGAAAAAAAATTTACCTTCACAAAGAGCAAGTTTCACCCTTCTTCCCCAACAATGTTTGAAAGCAAAATGCTCATATATATCGATCTCTGCTAAAAGGATATCTATTGCTTGATGATCTTTCTGCAAATTGAAGTACAGAATATATTAGGCATATGATAATAAGGAGAGAATTAACTTTTTGTTTTCGTTTTTTATTTTTAATGCTCCTTTCACTGCTGTAATCCAGCACATAACAGGATAAATAAATAAATAAAAACTAACAGAGATTAATGTTCTCTAAAATGAAGAATATGATATTTGATAAAATTGTATAGTAGTTAGAATACATACATCCCCAAATGCAGCAAACTTTTCCTGAATTGCATCTTGCAAGTGATCTTCAGCCTCTTCTTCAGTAATTTCTGATATCAACAAAGAGCAAAATTAGTAAATAAACATAATAACAAAGACAAATGCTAGCTCATAGACTTCAGGAATGTGTTCATTAGTTTTTGAACAACATGATTTATGGAAATGATATCTAAACTGTATGAATGTGAGTAAATGACCATTTTACCCTTCTATTCAAAAGTGATTAAACCTAACAATACCTGCAACTGCACCAATGATCTTTTCCACATTTGGTAAGCTCAGCTCTGTACGCACACCTTCTCCACCAACAGTAGGTCCCCATGAAAAAGGACCTGCACTCAAATCAATAAAAGCCCACCTGACATACAACAGATAATCAGTAATATATACATATACATATACATATACATATACATATACATATCTAGAGAGAGGGGGAACCTGTCTTTTCCAATCCATGTATCTGTAAAACATTCAACATGGAGACCACTAAAATCACTAGATTTCAGATCCTTTGCCCATTGAAGCTTCATGTCTTCATTTTTCCCATTCAACAACTTCAAACATTATATATTCTTTAGGTAATGTGACCTTTTTAAAAAGTTATATATTTACCGATATTATAGAACATGACAAACCTGGATAACTTTTGATTGAATAATATCAGCCACATCTTTCTCTTGATATTGCCTCTCAACATTGTTCAAAGCATTTAGGCAACTATTATACCATTCTATCTGAAGTTATTATAATAAAGAACAAGATGTTAACAGATAGCATAACTGATGTAATTATGTAAACTGGTTTTTAGAGAAAAATGTGGGTTTGACTTTTTGACTTATTTGAGGTATACTAACCGTGTCTGTTTCTTCTGTTATTATCCAGTATTATCTGTCTGTTTCTTCTGTTATTGTCCAGTATTATCTTGTAAACTCTAGGGGTAAAATGGTAATTTGTGTAATTTTATAACCAAACACAAATTACCAGGCAAATACATAAGAACAGGAGAATCTTTTAGAGGCCTGTTACAGGAAACATGGCAAAACCATGTTGAGATCACGTTTGGAGATGATATCATCAAATGAAGGCCTATTGTGCATGTCAGCATCCCAACAGCTTTGTACCAGAGATAGTAATCTTGGTGGTGCACCTGATTCCGTCCCTACAAGACCAGGTCTTAACCCTTTAGACACAACAGCTGCCGTCAGTTGCTTGTCAGTGTAGTTCATTTCCAGCACAGTGTGAGCCTGGCATCAGGGGATATTATATTATATTATTATTTTATAACTTTTAAATATAATACACCAATATATGAAAATGAAACTACATAGCTATTTCTTGTATTTAGCTCGATTAAAGCAAGAGAGCATGAATGTTCTTGTGGAACCTGAGGTTCACAATGTTTTTGCAAGAATACCAGGATTTGGGTTTGTACAAACTTTCTACAGTCAAGATACAAGTTATATATTGCAAGAAGTAGCATTTCTTTGTGGGAAAGTAGACAAATATGCTTTTTTTTCTTCAATTATGAGATTATGGCATGGAAGAAGAGAAAGAATTATATAGATTTTCTTTTCAAGATTTTCTTTTCAGCCAACTATATAAAAGCACTCAGACATTATACACATAGACACACAGATCCCAAACATGAACAAAGTTGACTAATTGCACCATACCCAAAAGATTGATAACCTAAGATTGATTGATCGAACAAATAGACAAGATCAAGAGAGGCACCTGATCATGAAGCAGGCAATATCGACTGAGTCATTCTGATTAATTCATTTCTGAAAGCACTTTAAGAATACCATGATCATAAAACTTCAAAATATGGCAAAAAAAGGCAAAATTTAGGCCAGTTCTTGAGTACGTCAATAAACAGAAGAACCTGAAGCTCCTGTGGTGAAATAAGTTCTGTAATTTTAATTTATAACCACCCAAATAGACTTTAACACACAGATGCCCAAATCAAGGAAAAGAATCTCGTAAATAAAGAGACAGAAGAACCTGAAGCCTTTTGGTTGTGATTTCCAATTAGCTAACATGATAACTGTTTCCAAAAAACAAACAAACAAAATATTATTTAGAAATATTTGTTTTATCCTCCCTTGAACCTTAAATTCAAGGTTTTCTCTTGTCTTATCCTCTCTTAAGACAAACCCTAATCTCCAATTAGCTAACATGATAACTGCTTCCAAAACACAAACAAATATTATTTAGAAATAGGGCTATAGTTTAATAAGATAAGTAGCTACATAAAATGAGAAAGTTTTACCAAAATCACATAACAAAGACACAAACTAAAGTCATATTTGGAAGAGAAGGGACGAACTAACAGGTGCAACATCTGATTAAAAAAACTTTCAAAATACAGAGTTAGAAATGAAATTAGGGTTCTAGCCCTTTACCTGGATCAAATTCCAGACATGATGAAGAAAAGAGAATAAACATATGGCTTCAACATATATTTAAATGAAGAGAATGCTAGAAGATGGATTAAAGTGAAAAGGGTTGAAAAATTGAAAGTTTAATACGAAATACGACCAATATCTAAGCAGACCTCATGAACTGGATTCCAAATTGAAACTCTAATTTTTGTTGAAAAGAGGCAAGAATCAAATGAAGTGGAATATACAATCTTCGTTCTTTCAAATCATGTAAAAAGAAAAGATAATAAAGATGAATCATACGGTGTTCAAGAGAAAGAGAGAAACAAAACCTAGAACGGAAGCGAAGTCCAGAAGATGGTCGGACCAAGTAGTTGGTGACAAGGCTAGAAGCAAAACCCACTTTCAAGTCTCCTGTGGCGGCGGCTGGAGCTCTTGACAGAGGGTGACTCGCCAAAAGGAAGTAGAGGCTACAAGGCACATTTCATGGCTCTTCAAACCAAGCAGGATGTATCAAGTAGTGTTGGGGAACCTCTTGGAAGTCTTGTTCTTATCGATTGAGACGACTACGAGAGAAGGTGTGGTCGTATAAGTTAAAAATGGCCGCCACCAGTCTTTCTATTGGACGAGTGGACCCAAATAGTTTTCTTGAACATATAGGTAACGAGAGAGAGAGAAAAGAACGATGGAAATAAGGTAAAGGATAACAATGGCGGCCTTTCAAACTTTTGGGATTTTCGTTTCCCCTCAGTTGCAAAAGAAGAGAACGCGCCTTTCATTAAAAAAAAAATATAAAGCGACATTTCTAGACGACACCCATTTTTAAATAAGTGCCCTCCGTGTTTTTAATTTTTTTGTTGGACATTAATTTTAGGACGCGCACAAAAGCATATCCTCTATCCTTCAAATTTTAGAAGAGATGACATTATTTTTAGGGCACTTGCTTTTGCGTATCGTAAATCACCGCGTGTCATTGTTTGCGCGTCATTAAAGGGCTGTTTTCTAGTAGTGCAACGTGGTCGGTAACCCAGCCTCGATCCGTACTCCTTGGTCTGCGTATCTATTGTTTTTTATGACTTCCTCTGTTTCGATATTTACTTGCTTCCCTCATGGCGTTGTCATTTTTGCTCTTTCTTTTACTGCCATTGTCGTGGGTACTGCTAATGCCCTGCTATGGATCATTCCATATCCATTCGATGTTCTATGTAGTCAAAGAAATGGATTCCAATTTCTTCATGGTACTTTTTCCGAATATAATGTTATACGGCGATGTTGATTCTACAATTGTGAAGTCCAATACTTGTGTGTTCTTGGCTTGTGTCAACCAATCGGTTAAGGTTAGCGGACCAGAAAGTATCCATTTTGGCCACTTAGAGTGTCCCGCGAAGCTTGTTAAGTGCCCTGTCGTCCATTTCATCATTTTCCACGTTTGCTCTGTTAACTATGATTAGCAGTGGTCATACATGGTTTCTGTTGAGCTGCCACTGTTACAGTATATCCGATGGATGTCTATATCGTATATGTGCCCATGTATAAGTATTGGTTCGTCTCCTTGGTGGCAGGTGATATGCTCTTTTTCTTCTTTAAACATGTTGTGCAAACATTATCTGTCAGTTTCTTCTACACACGGGAGAAAGTGTTTTGCTCTCAGTTGGTCATTTTCCATGTTGCCCTGTCTGTGCTTCTTTAGTCTTAAAATTGTTTATTTGGTATCTTTGTGATTTTCTACTTTAACACCCTGATAATACGGATGACTCCAATGTTATTATCGCAAACTCCAAGTGCATTTTTAGCTCCACCATTGGCGGATCTTGGTCTAATAAGAATTCGAGAATCCGCTCTGCACAAGGTGGACAAATGCTAGGTCAGACAGCCATACTGAGGGTTGGACCACGGTATTGCTCTACAATGCTAAATTAGATTGCGAATAAAATGATACGATGTTGTGCGTGAAGGTTCTTGCTCTCCCTTTTGCCCATACCTATTTATCATGTTTCCGATGTATTTATAGGCTATTCGTGGTTCCACAGGTTTATAGTTTTGTCCGGTTCTTTGTCCATTGCCCATTTTGTTAAAAATCTCGCCTTCTGTCCTTTATTATTTTATTGTTATGTATCTTCCCTTTTGCAGGTTTCCTGGGATATGGTTCTGAGATTCGTGCATGGTTACTTGAGCTTAGATTCGTTCGTGATAGGATGTAGTTTCTTCATTCCCAACCTTGTAAGTACCGGACCGGTTTTGGATTCTCTGAAATTACCGGCCCGGGTGTAACGCCCGCAGATTCAGGCTAGTCAATTTAGAGACAATAAGCGTCAAAAATTACTTTTTTATGGAGGATTATTTATAATAAATAATCTTAACCAAGTTATAGTATATGTCACAAGGGTTCCGTACATATAAAGAACGCCGAAATCTGAGTTATAACGAAGAAGTTATGACCTGTCAAAGTTTCGCGACAAAACCGGCACGACACCGGGAATCGTAAAATATGAGTTTACGATAAAGTATTTTTTAGCCTTATTGATCTAAAGATAAGTTGTAGAGTATGTCTCCACCTACGCGTGGATATAAAGAACGTAAAAAACGGAGCTCGTATGCAAAAGTTATGATCTTCCGAAGATGTAGCTGTCTGAGGGCATGACACGTGGCAGAAACCCTAGCCGCCTTAAGACCACGACGTGAAAAATAAGTCCACGATGTGAAATTATTAAAGGACACTAATTGAGGGTAGAAAAAGCGTGGACCTTTGGGCCTTTGTGTTTGGGCTGAGGAAGCACGTACGCGTGGCGTACATTGCCATGTACGCTCAGCGTACTCAAGGAATTGGAACACGGAAGCCATGCATGTACGCCCATCGTACCAAAGGGTACGCGCAACGTACGTGCGCAGAGTCTAAAACCCTAACTTTAGGGTTTGATCCCTATATAAAGGACATTATGCCCTTGGAACAGCCTCCCTATCACCCTTAAGCAGCCACCTCGAAAACCCTAACCCACTCTTGTATATTTTTGCCATTTGAGAGCTTCTTTGTGTGATTTTGGTGTTCTTAGAAGAAAAGGAGGTTGAGGAAGAGGCAAGGATTCAAGAGGAGCTTGTAGATCCAGAAGATTGACATCATTTCTGACTCTTTTAAGGTATCAAGTTCCAAACTTGACCATTACATGCTTAGATTTGTTTATAGGAGTGTTTAATGTCACTTTTGGACTCCATTGTTGAGGTTGCTTGTATCTTGTTAGTTTCAGACCAAAAGAGCTGTCCTTTTGAGCTCTTAGAGGCATTTAGAGTCATAAAAATCGGACCTTGATGGTTAAGCCACAACCATGCAAGTGTTTGATGGTCTTAAAGCTTGTTAAAGGACCAATATCATGTTTTGAACCTCAACCATGCATTCAAGCACATAAAGTTTGTGACTTTATGGATTAGGAGGTCTTAAAGGACCTGGATCTACATTCTGGACGTGAAGACTTAATGGATTAAATCACAAATGAAGTCCCAAGAAAGCTGGCCAATACGCTAAACGTACACCCTCATACGTTGCACGTACTAGGTCAACTTCCCGTTTGCGGTCAAGGACAGCGTACGCTGGGCGTACGTGCCAGGTACGCCGCACGTACGCATGCAGAGTGGATACATTGGGCTTTTGGGCCTTGGAGGGCTGGGCCTGGATTATTGGGCATCGTGGCCCACTGTGGAGTATAGCTCTGGGGCTAGGAATTTGGAATTAGAAGTATTGGGCCTTTTGGGCCATATTGTGCCACTTGAGATTATTCATTTTGGGCTAAGGATTTATTGGACTTGTGAAAAGGACCATTTTAAGAGTTGGGCCCAATTTAGAAAATTAGGCCATTAGTGGGCCTTAGGGAGCCTTTGATGGACCATGGGTGCACTGGGTTTAATAAGTTAGAATTGGGCCTTAGGAATGGTTCAAGTTAGGCCAAGGGGGGTAAAATGGTCATTTTACCCTAAGTAGTGTTATGGATTCTGATTAAGTGTTATTATGATTATGATAGCCGTGAGTCATCAGAGCAGCTGTTAGAGATTACTTTCCGTGAGATTTGACACTCAGCTTTACGAGGCGAGTTACCTTCCAGTAGAAGTGGGTCTATGGCCACAATGCCGACCCATTAGTAGGAGTTGTTTGTTAAATGATTGTCTTCGTGATAATTATTTGGTATGTTATGTTTATGTATTGGTATGTTATGATGATATGTGATAATGATAGGAAGGGTAGGATAGACCCTAGTACCGGTCGATAGGGCCGAAGGGGTATGTCAGCACCCGAATAAGATAGGCGGTACATGATTTATATGTTATACACTAGGATGCTATGTGGTAGAAGTAAAAGGTGAAATAGTCCCCGGTACCGGTCGACAGGACCGAAGGGGTAGACCAGCACCCTGATATGCTAGGCTAGGTACCGGTCGATAGGATCGAAGCGGTAGGCCAGCACCCTGATAAGCTAGGCTAGGTACCGGTTGACAGGACCGAAGGGGTAGGCCAGCACCCTGATATGCTAGGCAAGTAACCGGTTGAAAGAGACCGAAAGGGGGTAGTACCCAGATATGTTAGATTGTATGTGTTATGTATGGTATGTGGTATGATGAGGGAATTCACTAAGCTTCATGCTTACAGTTTACAGTTTTGTTTTCAAGTACCTCTTCATCGAAGGGGAAGGAGCCGGCACGGTAGCAGCGCATCGCACACACACATTATTTCCGCACTATGATGTTCTTGGGATTGTACTATGACATTATTATTATTCCATGACATGTTTTTATGACATTTGACTTATGGGTTTATGAGTTTGATATGATATCGATGATGTTTTTCCGTAAACGGTTTTATAAGTTACTTAATAAAAAACAAAATTTTTGGTCATGATTTTTAGGATGTTACAAGTTGGTATCAGACCCTTGGTTTGAGGGATTCGGACACACCTTCGGGGGTGTCTGGACTCAAATCGAGGGTATGAAAGATTTTTTCAAGAAAATAGTTTTTCTAAAAATTTAAAATAAGGAGTTTTGAGAAAGAACAAGGTGTGTGATGCGTACGACCGGCCGAGCT